GTTGCAGACAGGTAGGGTCAATCTCTCCCACCGGGCAACAACTGGCAGAACAAGAGGACACAGCCTCAGCTACGTCAAGGAAGGTTTAGGTTGGATATTAGGAAAAAAATTTTCACTGAAAGAATAATAAAATACTGGAATTGTCTTCCTAGGGAGGTGGTGGAATCACCATCTCTGGATATGTTTAAAAAAAGACTGGACTTGGCACTTGGTGCTGTAGTCTGGTTGTGGTGTTAGGGCACAGGTTGGACTTGATGGTCTTAGAGGTCTCTTCCAACCTCATTATTTTGGGATTCTGGGATTTCCCCTAATTTCTAATGAGGCAGAAGCCTGGAATCTGTTGGAAAATATGTAAATTAGAGTTTTATCTCCTTGTTTTTCATATTTTTTATAGTTAAGTTCTAGCTCTGTGCATCAAGCACTCTGCACGAATGGTGTGGTTGTTTTCACTTCAGCACCAATGGAGTTGGTCTGCACAAAGCTCTGTATAAAGATCAGTGGATTTTGAATAAAATTGGAGTTTTACTCTCAGCAGCCTTCTGAACAGAGTCTCTTCATTCCCATCCTGCCTCAACAGCGCCGAGAAATCTTTCTCCTCTTCTCTCTGGCTGAGCTGAGAATATCCACGTTTTCTCTTCCCAGCTCTCTCCTGTGGAGTTCCCAGGGCCCCGAGGAACGGGGTTGTTTTTGGGAAGGAGTACACGGTGGGCACCAAGGCCGTGTACCAGTGCAACCAGGGCTTCCAGCTGCAGCCGGGCGCCCAGCCCAGCGCCGAGTGCCTGCAGGAGGGCGTCTGGAGCAACGGGAACCAGCCCCCTCTGTGCCTGGGTGAGTGTGCCCCGACTTTTAAAAGTGTTTTCTTTATAGTTCTTTCGAAAGTTTTAAAGTTCTCGTGAAGCTTCTTCAGCCTTCTGCGAAAAATGCGGATTTTATGGTTGGCTTTTCGCAAATGTTACAATGAATGTTATACGTGTGATGTTAGAAAGTTGTGCTGTGTTAATTCTCTTACGTAGTGTGGTAAATACAGTTTTAGGTTACAACATAATGTTAAAATAGAGACTCTCTTTGTGGGGAAGTTTTTTTGTAGGAATGAGATACTCGCTTTGAGGAACACCTAAATCTTCCAAAGAAAAAGAATTTATGGTTTTCTTATCAGAAGAAACTAATTTCTTCAGGCTTTTCTCAGACTCGAAGACAGCAGGGGATTAGAGGAAACACTTGACATACAACAGAGTTTCTTGTTTTAAATAAAATATATGCATAACCATGAAGGATGTATGAATATGCAACAAGTGTATTGGTTTAAGGGTGATTCCTTTGTTCACAAGGGATGCTTTTCCTGACTTAGTGTCTGAGAGCATCTGGACGTCCGTAATTCTTTGCTTTTTATTCCCTTCTAATTGTGACAGTGGATTGTAGGGTGAAACTGCCACCTCTCCAACCACACTGGTCAAACCAACAGCCCATCAATTCTCTCCTCTCACAAAGAATGCAAAACAATCATTATTTATATGAACAGTGTGCGAAAATTCGGTAGAAATACGTAAACATCAGAAGGCATGGAAAACTTTTAAAGGAACTAGAAAAGAAAACACTTCTAAAAATCAGGGCAGCACTTAACCACCTCTCTGTGCCATTTTCTCTGTGCCATTTCTCCCCCCAAAGCCGTGACGTGCCCTGACGTGGGCAGCATCGCGGTGGAGCACGGCCGCTGGCGCCTCACCTACGAGGTGCAGTACCACTACAACGCCCAGCTGATGCTCATCTGCGACCCTGGCTACTACTACACGGGCCAGAGGGTGATCAGCTGCCAGGCCAACGGCACCTGGAGCATCGGGCAGCCCGTGCCCACCTGTAAAAGTAAGAGCAGGGACGCACCGGGGTGGCACCGGGGGTTGTGTTTGGGGTCAGCAAATCCGGGGGGTTTCAGGGTGGTGCTGAATATCTCCATGGATAACCAAGGATATGGTGCCCTTTGCATACAGAATGGGAGGGTTTGATGCAGATTTTGGGAGGCAATCCAGCCCTGGGAGGGGTTGGGGTGGATTTCCCAGGGTGGCGTCACCATGGACTGGTTTTATGTTTTGGGTCAGCAAATCCCATCAAATCCCTGAGGGTTTCAGGGTGGTGCTGGTGGGTGACCATGGATAACCAAGGAGATGGTGCCCTTTGGGTATAGGATGGGAGGGTTTGGTGCAGATTTTGGGAGGAAATCCATCCCTGGGAGGGTAAAGAGGGGTTGGGATGGATTTCCCAGGGCAGCATCACCAGGGACTGCTTTTATGTTTGGGGTCAGCAAATCCCAACAAATCCTGGGGGTTTCAGGATGGTGCTGAATATCTTCATGGATAACCAAGGAGCTGGTGCCCTTTGGGTACAGGATGGGAGGTTTTGGTGCAGATTTTGGGAGGAAATTCTTCCCTGTGAGGGCAGGGAGGGGCTGGGATGGATTTCCCAGGGAAGCAGTGGCTGCTGCATCCCTGGAAGTGTCCCAGGCTATGTTGGAGCAGCCTGGGATAGTGGAAGCTGTCCCTGCTGTGGAGTGGCAGCTGAGGTGGAGCGTGGTTTGGTTTGTTGGGCATTTTTGAGGTGGTTTGGTTCAGATTTTGGGGAGAAGTCCTTTCCTGTGAGAGCAGGGAAGGGCTGGGATGGATTTCCCAGAGGAGCTGTGGCTGCCCCATCCCTTCCAACCCACATCCCTGGAAGTGTCCCAGGCTGTGTTGGAGCAACCTGGGAGAGTGGAAGGTGTCCCTGCTGTGGGATGGGATTTAATTCCTCCTGGCAGCAGCTGAGGTGGAGACAGCAGAGCTGCTGGAAGAGAGCTGGGATGCAGGGAGGCTCCTGGATGTGATTCCTGGTTTAATCCCAGCACTTCTCTGGGATCTCAAGCCCTTCAGCTCAGCTGCTGCTGTGGGGTCCCAGCAGCTTCTCTGTCACAGCTGCTCTGAAGTCAGGGCTTTTAAGGAGGGAAAATAAAGAATTCTGCTGTCAAGCCTCAGCTCTCACACAAACACCAGGTTTACAAGGGTAACAGTGTCACCTGCAAATCAAACCCAACGGGGCACACCAGCAGCTCTCAGTTGTTCTGACACCACTGCTGTGCTTTGCATCTCTCCTTTTGTCAGAGGTGGAGGGTTTTTCTCTCCAAGTGCACGCAGAGGCTGCAAAATCTCTCCTTCCCTGCTGCCTGCCTTTGTTTGTGGAGCTGTGACTGCTGGCATGGGTGACAGATGTACTTTTCCCCCTGCCAGCTCTTCCTGTGGATCCGGGAGCAGGAGCCTGACCTCCTTTTGTTCCCTCAGCCTTATTGCCACCTAAATCCAAGTGACAGGATCTTGGCAGTGCCCCGAGGTCAGGAGCACCCAGCGGGAGCTCCAGAGGGTTTGCAGAGCTGGAAGGCAGAGAAAATAGAGATAAAATGAAGAGTTGTGAGGGAGAGTTGGGTTTGCAGGGGCTCCTGCATCCCACAAATGCAGCTGGGATCTGCAGATCCTGGGGTTTTGGCTTGTGGGGGAAAGCTGGGTGTCACTTTTAATTGGAAACTTTGTGCCATTCCAAGGTCAGGCTGGACAGGGCTTGGAGCAACCTGGCCTAGTGGGAGATATCCCCACTCATGGCTTTTAAGGTCCCTTCCAACCCATCCCATTCCATGATTCTGTGGGTTTTCTGGGAATCAGGCTTCCTGCTGCATCCAGCAATGGGTAATGGCAGAAAAACATTCCTGTGTGAGGAAGTCCTGGTGTGAAAAAATCCTTTGGTTCCTTCCCAGCCTGTCTTTAGTGCTTCCCTCGTGTCCTGAAGCATAAATGTCAGCAGCTCTTATTTTTGTCACCTTGTCTAACATGGCTCTGCGTGGAATGATTACAATTCCTGGAATTATTTAATGAACTTTCCCACTCCAGCAATAACTCCTGGTGCTGTGCCTGGATGCATTCCTCCAAAACCCAGCCTGCTCTCTGACTATCCTTTGGGATTTATCCTAGTTATCTCCTGTGGGGACCTGCCCACCCCTCCCAACGGGAACAAGATCGGGACCCTCACCAGTTACGGGGCCACTGCCATCTTCTCCTGCAACACTGGCTACACCCTGGTGGGCTCCCGGGTCCGGGAGTGCATGGCCAACGGGCTCTGGAGCGGGGCTGAGGTCCGGTGCCTGGGTAGGTATCCCTGGGAAGCTCCTGCTGGCACCCAGGGGCTGTGGGAAGGGCACCTCGGGAGGGACACGAGGGGTTTAGGGACTGATATGACGTTTGAAGTGGATGTAAAAGGGAGGGAGAGTTTGATTCCTGCATCTTCAGTAGGTGTGAGGGAGAGTTTTGGGATGGGGATGTTTGTTCATGGCAGCAGAGTCTTGAGTTAACAGCCTGGAGCTGAAAGAGAACGGGGTTGGATGTTGGGATGTGTTCTTCACTATAAACTGCAGGTATGGATTGCCCAGAGGAGCCGGGGCTGCCCCAGCCCTGGAAGTGTCCAAGGAGAGGTTGGACAGCGTGACCAGGGATGGTGGAAGGTGTCCTTGTGGATAACCCTTACGTTCCTTTCCAACCCAAACCAGTCTGGGCATCGTGAACCCCATCCATGCCCAGAAAAGCTCTCTCCCAACATGGCCCATCTTTTGGCTGAGCCACACCCTCTTATTGTAAATCAGTTTCTAATCAGTTTCTAATAAACACCTGGTCTCCCCTGCGAGGTTGGGGGGGTGCTAATACAAACGAGCACAATCTAACAAATATCCACTATTACACATTTTATATAAGGAACGGCGCGAATTACGTTTACTATACATACCAAGGTGATTCCTGCTGTTTCCCCTCTTCCAGCCGGGCACTGCGGCGTGCCCAGCCCCATTGTGAACGGGCAGATCAACGGGGAGAACTACAACTACCGGGGCAGCGTGGTGTACCAGTGCCAGCCCGGCTTCCGCCTCATCGGCATGTCCGTGCGCATCTGCCAGCAGGACCACCGCTGGTCCGGGAAGACGCCTGTCTGTGTGCGTAAGTACTTGTCATTCCTTCAGCCCTGCTGGGGAACATTCCAGCCAGGAGGGCCTGGAAGGGGCTGTGGAAGGGGTTGTGGAAAGGGCTGGGCAGAGCTCACACCCCCGAGGTGTGGGACAGTCCTGCACACATGTTCAGGGTGATTTTCTATCAGCATAAATCACGCAGGACTCCATTTTCTTTATGAAGGATAAAACCTATTCTTTATTCACATAACTCATTTTTATACAGTTTTACAGACCCCAAATGTGATTCCAATTGGTTAGTAGCTTTCTGAACAGTACTTTATTGGTTATTACTTGTCCATCAAGTCTTTCTATTCTTAATTTCCTGTGTGCGTAAGTACTTGTCATTCCTTCAGCCCTGCTGGGGAACATTCCAGCCAGGAGGGCCTGGAAGGGGCTGTGGAAGGGGTTGTGGAAAGGGCTGGGCAGAGCTCACACCCCCGAGGTGTGGGACAGTCCTGCACACATGTTCAGGGTGATTTTCTATCAGCATAAATTACACAGGACTCCATTTTCTTTATAAAGGATAAAACCTATTCTTTACTCACATAACTCATTTTTATACAGTTTTACAGAGCCCATCTGTGATTCCAATTGGTTAGTAGCTTTCTGACCAGTACTTTATTGGTTATTACTTGTCCCTCAAGTCTTTCTATTCTTAAATTCCTGTGTGTGTAAGTACTTGTCATTCCTTCAGCCCTGCTGGGGAACATTCCAGCCAGGAGGGCCTGGAAGGGGCTGTGGAAGGGGTTGTGGAAAGGGCTGGGCAGAGCTCACACCCCCGAGGTGTGGGGTGGCCATGCACGCGTGTTCGGGGTGGTTTTCTATCAGCTTAAATCACGCAGGAATCCATTTTCTTTATGAAGGATAAAACCTATTCTTTATTCACTGCTGCCTGGAGAGGGATGCAGGGAATTCCTGGGTGCAGGGAATTCCTGGTGCAAATAAAACCTACAAAAATCTCCTCTCAAATGTCTCAACAAAACAGGCCCCAAATCTTTGGGTTTTGGGATTGATGTGTGGGGTTTTTATGCTCTCCTCCCTTCACAATTTTTTCCCAGTGAATAATCCACTTTTTCTCCAGGAATAAACCCGGTGACATTTCCTTTTTGTGCTTGCAGCCATCACCTGTGGCCACCCTGGCAACCCCCCCAACGGCCTCACCCAGGGCTCCCAGTTCAACCTCAATGACGTGGCCAAATTCCAGTGCAACCCCGGCTTCCGCCTGGAGGGAGCTTCCCAATCCCAGTGCCTGGCCAACGGCCAGTGGAGCAGCACCCTGCCCGCCTGCAGAGGTTGGTCTGGGCTCTCCTTTGAGATTTCTCCATCTTCCCAAGCCAGAAATCCCTGGAAACCACCCAGGGGATGTTGGAGATTCCAGGGACACTGGAAATCCCATGGGATTTTCTCACCTCCAAGGGGTTGGAGTGTGTTGGAAAAGGAAATTTGGGATCAGACCCAGATTTGGGGTTAGAGGGTGTTAAAGGCAGGCACAACCCTACAAACACACCCTGTGGTCACAATCCTTGAGGTCACAATCCATGGAAAATCAGGATCTCTCCTCTGCTCCACCAAATCACCTTGTCCAACCTCCTCGTTTATCTTCCCAGGAAATATCTTCCCACAGCTTTGTACAGAGCCCTCTTCCCTGTTTCCCATGGGATCAGCACTCAGGTTCACTTCCCAAATCCCCTGCACTCCCTCCCTCTGCATTCCCCACATCCAGGAGCTCTGGCCACGCTGGATTATCGGTCATTCCCTGCTGGATGATGGAAATCCCAGTTTGGGATCAGTTATTCCCACCTGGATAATCAAAATCCCAGTTTGGGGCTGGAGATCCAGCCTCTGCTGCTGGGTCAGAACCTGCAGGATTGCCTGGACTCCATTTTTCCCCCCTTTTCACCACAAATTTTTCCACAAAAATCTCGCAGGGGGTGAAAAAAACCCTTAAATCACAGCATAAAATCTTCGATTTCCCACCTTTTTTCCTGCTTTTTTTTTTTTTTTTTTTTTGAGAACCCCACATTTTTCTGCCCCACCCTTTGCTTCCCGTTATTTTTGGGTGTTGTTCTGTTGTTTGTTTGCAGTTGTGAACTGTTCTGACCCCGGGCACCTGGAAAACAGCGTCCGGCAAGTGCAGCCGAGCGGCCCCCACAGGTTCAGCTTCGGCACCACCGTGTCCTATCAGTGCATCCACGGATTTTATTTGTTGGGATCGCACGTCCTGACGTGCCAGGGCGATGGCACGTGGGACAGAGCCCTCCCCCAGTGCCTTTGTAAGTGGCCCCAACCCTCCCTGTCCATCCCACGGATTCATGAGGGAAAATCCCCCCTAAAAAATCCACGTGGGAATTATCACAGTGGTTTCAGGAATTTCCCAGGGAAGGGGGTTTGGGGTTGAGGAGAGGGATCCAGCTGAGGGCATTCTCTGTGTAGGGACAGGTGGAATCCCAGGGGATTTTGGGGGATTCTAGGTGGAATCCCCATGGATTTTGGGGGATTCCAGGTGGAATCCAAATGGATTTTGCAGGATACCAGGTGGAATTCCGTTGGGTTTTGGGATTTGAGGAAAGGATTCTGCTGGAAGGGTTTTTTTTGTGTAAGGACAAGTGGATCCCAATGGATTTTGGAGGATTCCAGGTGGAATCCCAGTGGATTCTGGGGGATTCCAGGTGGAATCCCAGTGGATTCTGGGGGATTCCAGGTAGAATGCCAATGGATTTTGGGGGATTCCAGGTGGAATCCCAATGGGTTTTGGGGTTAGAGGAAAGGATCCTGCTGGAAGGGGTTCTCTGTGTAGGGACGGGTGGAATCCCAGTGGATTTAGGGGATTCCAGGTGGAATCCTAATGAATTTTGGGGGATTCCAGGTAGACTCTCAGTGGATTTTGGGGGATTCCAGGTCGAATCTCAGTGGATTTGGGGGATTCCAGATGGAGTCCCAGTGGATTTTGGGGTTTGAGGAAAGGATCTTACTAGAAGGGGTTCTCTGTGCAGGAACAGGCAGATCCCAATGGATATTGAGGAATTCCAGGTGGAATCACAATGGGTTTTGGGGTTTGAAGAGAGGATCCTGCTGGATGGGGCTCTCTGTGTAAGGGCAGGTGGATCCCGGTGGATTTGGGGGATTCCAGGTGGAATCCCAATGGAATTTGGGGGTTCCAGGTGGAATCCCAATGAATTTTAGTGTTTGAAGAGAGGATCCTGCTGGAGAAGGTTCTCTGTGTTGGGACAGGTGGATCCCGATGGATTTGGGGGTTCTGGGTGGAATCCCAATGGATTTTGGGGTTTGAGGAGAGGATCCAGCTGGGATGGTGCAGGTGGAGAGGGCAGGAGCAGCTCTGGAGCACAGGGAGGGCTCACCTGAGTGAGTGGAAACTCACCTGAGTGAGTGAGGGCTCACTTGAGTGAGTGAGTCCTGTCTTACACTGGGAATTTGGGATCCAGAGAGGATTTTAGCTGCCTCAGGGAGGTGCAGGCAGGAGGCCACTCCCAGCATGACCAGTTTGTCCCTTTGGGCACTAAACCAGCTGCAATTCCATTCCCTGCCCTTGGGAATGGCCTCGGAACTCCGGAAATTCCAATTGGCTTGAGCTGTTCCAAAGCTGGGATTGTTCCTTTTGTTTTTTCCATGTTTATCCCTCCTCACCAAATCCTACCGAGCAGCTTTGGGCACATTTTCCTTTCCTTTTGTCCTGTCCTCACCCCTTGCATGGATCCTGGGGAATTGGTGAGTGATGATCCATGTTCCCACAGCTGGGAGGGAATTCCTGTTAAAACCCTGATCCCAGACTCCCTCAGCACCCTTGAGTACAAGGGATCTCCTTTCTTAAAATGTTGGGATCTGGAGGATTTGGAAACCCAGGTCAGTTTTACCACTGATTCTGTGTATTCCTGGGATTAAATGTTTAAAAAAAAAAAGGAGATTTTCCCATGTTTTTGTTTCCTGTGTGTTGAACTTCCCTGTGAGGGTGGGGAGGCCTTGGCACAGGTGCCCAGAGCAGTTGGAAGTGTCCCCATCCCTGAAAGTGTCCAAGGCCAGGCTGGACAGGGCTTGGAGCAAGCTGGGATAGGGAAAAGCATCCCTGCCCATGGAAAGGGTTGGAATGAATAGATATTTAAGGTCCCCCCAAGGTGTAATTCTGGAATCCCCGGGTGCTGAAGCTGTGTCTCTCTTGCAGTGGTGTCGTGTGGCCACCCCGGGTCCCCTCCCCACGCGCAGATCTCGGGGGACAAGCACACGGTGGGCTCCGTGGTCAGGTACAGCTGCCTGGGCAGGCGCACGCTGGTCGGCAATGCCACGCGGATGTGCCAGCTGGACGGGCGCTGGAGCGGCTCCCTGCCACACTGCTCGGGTGAGGGGCTCGGGAGGGCACTGCCAGGGCACCCGGCCCTGATCAGCGAGCCACGGTCAGCTGGCCATGGTCACCCAGCTGTGGTCAGCTAGCCACGGTCAGCTAGCCATGGTCACCCGTTCATAGTCAGCTAGCCATGGCCATCCATTCATGGTCACCCAGCCACGACCAGCTAGCCACGGTCAGCTAGCCATGGTCACCCAGCCGTGGTCACTTGTTCATGGTCACTCGTTCATGGTCACCCATTTGTGGTCACCCAGCCATGGTCATCTGTTCATGGTCAGCTAGCCATGGTCACCCATTCATGGTCACCCATTTATGGTCACCCGTTCATGGTCACCCATTCATGGTCACCCAGCCATGGTCAGCTAGCCATGGTCACTCGTTCATGGTCACCCATTCATGGTCACCCAGCCATGGTCAGCCATTCATGATCACCCAGCCATGGTCACCCATTCATGGTCACCCATTTATGGTCACCCATTTATGGTCACCCATTCATGATCACCCAGCCATGGTCAGCTAGCCATGGTCATCCATTCATGGTCACCTGTTCATGGTCATTTGTTCATGGTCATCTGTTAGTGATCACCCCTTCGTGGTCACCCAGCCATGGTCATCATCTTCCACCCATCATCACCTTCCCTTCCCTGAACTTCCCCAACCCTTCCCCTTTCCCTTTTCCCTCCCGCACTCCAGCCCCTCCTCGTTCCCTGAGTTCTGGCTGCTCAGGGCTGGCTTGGAGCACGTGGGAATTCCTTGTGGACATCCCTGGGGCTGGAGGCTCCACCTTGGCATTCAGGAATTGTGGCCACCTTTGCATCCAGCTCAAAACCGAGGGGCTGCTGGAACCGGGAAATGCCCAATTTGGAATTTCACTGCTCTGCTGGGGGTGGAATTCCCGATGAGGGTGACAAGGGACACGAGCCACCATCCCCTGGTGGCTCTGGTGACCCTGTGCTCTCCCCGGGCAGGGGGCAGCCAGGGCGTGTGCGGCGACCCCGGGATCCCTTCCCATGGAATTGGGCTGGGGGACGCCTTCGACGTGGGCAGCGTGGTGAGGTTCAGCTGCGAGCCCGGCTACACCCTGCGGGGCTCCTCCGAGAGGACCTGCCATCCCAACGGCTCCTGGAGCGGCACGCAGCCGGAATGCGAAGGTACTCCTGTGCCTCAGTGTCCCCAGGACTGCCCCGGTGTCCCCAGAGCTGCCCCAGTGTCCCCGGGACTGCTCTGATGTCCCCAGAATTACTCTGATGTCCCCAGAGCTGTTCTGGTGTCCCCAGAGCTGTTCTGGTGTCTGCAGGATTTTTCTGGTGTCCCCAGAACTGCCCTGATGTCCACAAGACTGCCCCAGTGTCCCTAGGATTGCCCTGGTGTCCCCACAGCAGCCCTGGAGTCCCCAGAGTTGCCCCAATGTCCCCAGAATATCTCCAGTGTCCCCAGAACTGCCCAGTGTCCCCAGAATTCCTTTGATGTCCCCAGAATTCCTTTGAT